CAGATTAACTTTTTGCATCAAATTACTATTAAAAATCCTTTTGCACTATCCATGAGCTTGTTTCGATTACTTGTGCAGATCTTTCTAATTATTTTATTCTCAATTGCCGTTATTAACTTGCAAATACCGATAATTGTGGAAAATATCACTTTCACGTTATTTGACATATTTTGGTGTTGTTCACCAAGTTTGTATTCAATGAAATATTAATCACGGCAAACATGACAACAACTATCGATCATATTTGCTTTTTTTTCTTAATTATAATTTTATGCAAATTCTATAAATAGCGTGCACTCCTTTGACTCGACGCCCTTTACTAATCGGTAGCATCCGTGATAACTTTAAAACTCTACTATGCACAAGAAGTTTGCTGGTGGATCATCAAGTTTTATTTACTTCAAAAAATTACGATGCGCATTACAGCCTGTCCCGTGCTCGTGCGCACTATTAAATGCAAAAACCAGGCTGATATACGATTGCACTAACATGACATTACGCACTAAATTTTGATATTAATGCCTGAGTTATCATGCACCTTTCAAAGTTTCCATTTCCGTATTTGATTTGTGAATAATTGCAGTAATTTATGTTTTTCGCAGAACAGTTATGCAGCCCATTTGACAAGAACGACACGCTGTCAAGATTAGGAATGTTTAGATCCACGAAAAGTATCGATATGTATCGATTCTTATCGTTTTACGAAATATCGATACTCTAAAATATTGGAATAAAATTATCAATATCCAGCGGAAGGAAGCAAAGAAGAAAAGTAATCTGAAGTTAGTCACTCTTTCTGACACAGTCCCGATCGAAAGATGACGATACTCGTGGAATGTATTGATACTTCTGAATATAGGATCGTATCGAACATCCCTACTGTCAAGATGTATATCCCGAGGTACCGACGGAGCTATTTTGTGGCGTCATGGAAATAATTTTAAATTTTCATTTGAATTTTTTCAAGTGTTGTGCAGCGATTTTGGGAAAAATTCCACGTATAGCCTTGTAAAGCATAGTAGAGTATATTTAAACAGTTGTCGGAGCTTACCCCACTGGGACCAAGGGTTGACGGATCCCACACATATGTCACTCGTTGAGGAGTTTTGAAATGTAGTAATCAGCTGTTATTCAAATAATGTCTACTATAAATATAATCTAGAATGTGTACTCAGTGAAATAAGAAAGTTATTACAAATTCCATTTTTTGCAGCTTTTAAGTTTGCCGGTAACTTTTCGACATATATTTGAGTATAGGATCCTATCGAACATCCCTACTGTCAAGATGTATAGCCCAAGGTACCGACGGAGCTATTTTGCGGCGTCATGGAAATAATTTTAAATTTTTATTTGCATTTTTTCAAGTGTTGTGCAATGATTTTGGGAAAAATGTCACGAATAGTCTTATAAAGCATAGTAGAGTATATTTCAACAGTTGGCGGAACTTACTCCAGTGGAACCAGGAGGGTGAAACGGCATATTAATGCACAATCTGGCAACCCTGTCGCACCCTCACAAAATGGCCGCTGACAACCACACAAGTCACCTTGTTGTGATTGAATAGCATGGAAATAAACCTTCAGAGTATACGTATATATGTTTTGTGACTGGTACCAAGAGTTGACAGATCCCACACATGCGTCACTCCTTGAAATGCAATAATCAGCTGTATTCAAATAATGTCTAATATAAATATAACCTGGAATGCGTACTCGTGAAAAAAGAAAAATATGGCAAATTTGTAGTTTTTTTGCAGGTTTTATAGGTTTGCTGGTAGCTTTAAGGCATATATTTTGGAATTTCTTAATCTCTGTAAATATAGTGTGGATGTTTGTTCAGTTCCTGAACAACCAAAAAATATTTGATACTATGGATGTATGGATATTAAAAATCTTGAATTGTTTCAATAAGCTGGTGATGTTTCAATGACAAGCTGTCATCTCATACTTTAACAGTATTTTGTTTTCAACATTTCATAGCTATTGCTAAAATCTGTTGGTTGGAACTTGAAGCTCATTCGCTGTATTTGACGGACCGTTACCCTATAGGTGGAGAATAACGGACTGTTGATTTGACAATCCTGGTAAAATCCACCCTTAATGAATTGAAAAGTATTTATTGGGTAGAGTAAGACATATTTCATTAATTATTGAATATAGAATTCAGTTAGTTAGCAGTGCGTTATTCTGCTTAAGATTGATATTTGTTTTGTAAAATTATAGTAATTACGTTAATAATAAAATTGCTTTATTAAACATAACTATTTACGAAAAGAATTCCTTTGTTGCTATGACAATGAGACACTTTCTTGTGTTTGATAAAAAATGAGGTAACGCCACAGATATACTAAAGAAACACTTACCATTACCACACTTGGACTAAAAACTAATAATTACAAATATTTGGAGGTTAGATGTCAAAAGGTAGCAAATGAAGCATCATTGTACACGGAATGCCATTTTCTATTCACATAAGCAAAAATATACCGGATGTCCATTTAAAATAACAAAGATAAAGTAATTTCCGGCTAAACAGGACGTGAGAATAAACAATTGAGTACTTCAAACAGTGCACCTGCTCGGGACACCCGGTATACAGTGTGTCCAAGTTTCGCTTCTCCATACGGGGATCTCGGCTCCTGTAATACCTTCAGCAAAGATTAAATTTGGGAAGTGTTAGAGGAAACTTAGTGCGTGAATGAATTGTCTCAATCGCCTTCTGTTTTCCAGCAACCTGCCTCAACTTTCATTTTCCTTATGGCCGCCATATTGCATTTTTCGATTTTTGAAAAGCGCGTAAAATTTTCCGTCTACCGATGTCTCACAAGTGTATAAAAGATTGGAGTATCTTCAAAATATAATCACACGTAATGTTATGTGTTAATTTTTTTCTAAGGAGACTACGATTTATTTGTCAGAAAATAAAATTAATAGCTAATGCATTTTTTTTCATCTAAGGAGGTTCTCACTTTGACGTTAAATGATTCAGTATTAAAATTGTGTTGTAATAAGTAGTAGGTACGTTTTCTTTCACTAAAGTAATAAATCTGACAAAAAATGCCAAAAACTGTTGAAAATGGCCGGTACTCCCTGCTCAAATGAAGAAAAATTTGACATATTAGCGCTGTACTTGAAGTCACACAGAAACGCCGTTATTATCTCAGCAAGGTACTTGGAGATGTACCCCGAACCTCGGAGCCTCATACAACCCAATTTAGAAAGATAGTAGTTAACTTAATAAACCGCCTTCGAACAACCTAGAAGCGGATACAATATTGAAAATGAAAATCGCGACAGGAACATTAACAAGCTGTCAACGAATTCCTTAGTGCATCAGTAACAACTATAGAACGAGAAATTCGTGTGTCAATCATCAACAGTACAGATGGTATTAAATATGAATAAGTATCATCCATACAAACCTACAATAGTTGAAGTACTTAAGGAAATTGATTTTCCAAGGCACATGCGCGAGTGATATACTAGGGAGTCTAATGAAAATCTCGATTTAGTAGATCATGTCTTGAGGTCCGATGAGTAGACTTGTGTAGAAATGTGGAGTTTTTAATAAGCACAACACTCATCATTGGGCTGTAGGAAACTCCCACGAAGTGACAGAGAGACGTCTACAGACCAGATTTGGAACTAAAGTTTGGTGTGGGGTTATTGATAATGTAATCTAACTTATATCTTTTAATTGGGAACATATGTGAAATTAGGTATTAATATTTTCAGGAAATCGGATTGTAGGACCATTTTAATTTGACTACAACCTAAATGGGCAGAGGTACCTAGAGCTTTTGCGAAACCAGGTTGTGCCGGCTTTACGAACTAGTATAACCGAAGATGAGCTTAGAAGAACCTGGTTTCAATAGGATGGATGTCCGGCTCACAATACCATGCAAGTCAGGAACTGTTTAAGAAAGCAGTTTGATGAAAGAATAATTTCATTAAATGATTCAATATTTTGACCTCCTAGATCTTCTGATCTTTCACCCTTGGATTTCTACCTCTGGGGTCACACAAAGAATGAGGTCTATGAATTTGATCCTTCCGCGAATATAGAAATCCTGAGACAAAGAATTTTCAGCACAGTTAGAAATATTAACAGAAATAGACTAGCTAAGGTTGTACGAAAAACAGTCACCAACTATAAATTAATACCCACTTACATAATTAGATTTTACATGACATGTAAAACAGATTTACGACGATTTTTGTGACTCATAGTTGGGAATTTTTCCCAAAATATTTGACTTGTTCAGAAGTCAACATTAACGTTAATATTCTATTGAAAATTCAAGACGTTTATGTGTTTTTTATGCCTTGCTCATTAATGTTATTTTCTGACAAATAAATCATAGCCTCCATAAAAAAAACGAATACGCACCATTACGTGTGATGATATTTCGGTGGTACTACAATTTCTTATGCACTTGAGACACATCACTAGACTGAAAATTTTACACTCTTTTTAAAGATCAAAAAATCCAATGTGTCGCCTATAAGAAAACTGAAAGTTGAGGCGGGCTGTTAGAAAACAAAAATCAATCGAGACATGTAGTGCATGCTATCTTTTTTTTCCTGAAAAAAATGTCGGAGTAATCTCACATTTGACAGCTGTAAAATTAACCGTATTGGATTTACTGGTAAAAAACGAAATTCGACATTTTTGTTTTTTCGCTGATATTTCCAAAACCAATCGACCGATCGTAAATCTGAAGCCGGCCATCTAAAGCACTAAGTGTCCTCTAAATCTTTCCCCATTTAACCTTTACTGTAGGTATAACAGCAGCCCAGATCCCTGTATAGAGAAGCGAATCTGGGACACATGTTTCTGCGAAACTTTTTCGGGCCCCCATCCTTTATTGTATGTCGTTTCCTTTTATCTACTTACGTTATACTTTCTTTTTTTATCAATAAATGTTATTATTGTTACCAGTATTATTAATACGTTGTATGTATGTAACCTATACAAACCTCTCGTTAATTACATACTAGGAGAGAGACGATCGCCTGCCCACCTTCGGCAGAATCGAGGAGCAGGATTCACAATCTTCAGCTTGACATCATGGATGATATTGTCCAAACACGGAAGGTTAGAATGAAGATGTGGGACACCAGCAAGGAAAAAGTGTGCGAGTTGCAACCTTTGGACGAAACTGGGACCGTGCAGAGTTACATCAACAATGTTGCTAATAGGTTTTTGGACTTTGTATGTACAACTCTCGCACCTATTCCTAGTAGGAGCAAACGCAGAACTTTAGAGCTTCCTCAGCCCTCTACATCAGGTACTACTTTATGCAATATTATAATATATAATCAACATTTGATTTTAATACGTCCATCTCCATATATAGGGTGCTTCAAAAATTTTTTTTTCAAACGCATATCCTGTAATTTTTTTCCATTTGACTCTAACAACTCAAAAAGTAAATATTATTGCAATCGGGGAACGATATCCGGTGACCGACTTCCGATCAAACTTTGAATTTGAACGTTAATAGGGAAACCATGTATGGATGTCAAAACCTAATTCTTATTCGACAAATAAAACACAAATTTATTTATTTATTTTTCTTATCAAAGTTTCCTTCTTACACTCAGGATATACCTGCCCGTGCGCTTGTACGTATCGTAATAAAAGTTGTTTTTGTTCCTCATCAGCAGTGATTAAGCCATGGAAGTCTTGCATTAACTTGACTGCTCTTTATGCAGTATCGTTAACTGCTCTCAGTGTTTGCACCTTATTGCTACTGTGTTGAAGATAATCAGTATGTGGGCATGAATTTGGAAACTCGTCGAGAAAATATCAGTTTTGAGTCGACTGAACAAAGACTTGCTTTTGATTGAAACAAAGTCTTCGATATTTTTCTCTGAAATTTAAAAACGAAGAATTGCTGCCATCTATACATACTGATTTTGTCCGTCCACCCAGCGGCAGTCCATCATGGACATAAGTCTTACCATTTTCGGCGACTCATCAGCATCGTCTAGGCTTGACCTCAGGCCAATCAGGCTAACTAAAAATTATTATGTGGTTCCGTTTAGCGGCCAGATAAACATGGATGATTATAAAGAATGTTTTATGACAACTTGTTACTTTGTCAAACTATATCTATAATGTATGCTCCGTTTGGATGAGTTTGTCCCAATCCTACTTTCTTATCCGCATTGCAGGAACAAAAAAGGCATTGTCCGGCATCGTATGCATCAGCACAGACCGGATCTCGCATTCGCTTTCGACATCAGCTACGGAGATCAACCCGTGTGAGAAGGAGCAGAAGCATAAAGATAAACCAAGCATATCGCGACGACGAGGTCATTTGAAGGACAACAGATCCAACAGCTTCGACATATCCATCCTCCAGGAGAAGCTTAGCTCCATAAAGGCCATATCGATCCCCACACCTTCCAACTGGTTCACGAAGAGACACCAGCCCACGAAGAGTGATATAACTAATAAAGCAGTTAGTATAGGAATATAATTACAATTCAAGGTTGTACACTCTATAATTTGTAAGTGATATTTCTTTATATTACTTTAGACCAGATATAGTTGCAGGGACAATAAATCAAAGATCCAAAGGGCAGTCCACAATTTTGGCGTTGCTTCTTTATCTCGCGATCGGCCATTAAGTTTGTTTCTCTTAGTGTTGTGGACATAAATAATATGCAAAAATACGGTAACTACGTTTACAAGATATAGGACCGAGAAGTTTGATCAAAAATGAGGTTCGTTACATTTTATGCAATGAAGTTCTTTCAGTCAGTGTATGTCGGTTAAATATTACTCATTGTTCGTAAAGTACTAGAGCCTCTTACGAAAGGCCTGCTATCATGCATACATTTAAAAAAATGCAGTAGTTCGACTAATCAGAGTTATTTTACGTATAGGTATTTAGAACAACTTGCGCATATCAGAATTCCACCACTCCATATATTCTGATCATAAGTACCATCGACAGATAACTGACAAATGTTCCTACCTTAGCTTTGAGAGTATATCACACGGAGTAAAAAAGGCATGAAGCTAGTAATGACCTATGTGTTTTTGTCTATACCGAACGTTATAGCACTTTTTACATATTCTTTTAGGTTTTTCATATTATGTATTGATAAAAGAAACACATGACAGCTGGCCGCGAGACAAACAATGTCGCGAAAAATCATTGTCAATTGGGAGAAAGCTAGAAAATTCGAACTAGGGGTTGTGGGGTCATAATCTCCGATATTTGTCTGGCCAATCAAAACCGCATATTTTTATAACTGTGGTAGCATGAAAATAAGGCAACAAAATAGCCGTCCTTAGACCCTTAGAATATCGTTTAGGTTGACACAATTTTCTTAGACTTTTAGAACAGTGATGAGTAGCTAGAACTTTTGTTAGTGATCCATCACAATGTTATAAATTCTGTAGGTGTGTATTTCTTCCTATAGTATTGTGTATTTCATATATACTCAGTGACATTAGAAGTGTTGCACCCAGAAAATATATATCAAAAATGAAAAACTACAACAGTGTATCAAAATAACCTTTATTCATTTTTAATTTACTTACATAAAATATACAGGTTGTTTTCCAATTGAATGTCTATATTTAAGGGGGTAACTTTGAGTCCATTTTAAGAATATTTCATATGACGTATATGCTAAATCTCTTCACCTTTGAGAAACAGAGTGGTAAACTTTTCAAAAGTTAATAAATTTTTTTGTAAAGATCTGGAATACCACTTCAAATACTTTATCAAAGTTTGGCATAGATGTACATCAAGAGGTATTTTTAATGCAACATTCTTTGAATTCCCACCCGTGGCGTTCGTACGAATTTCACTTGCCTATTGTGGCAGACAATGATAGTAGGCAACTGATTTCTCTTAAAATAAAAATTGCTCTTAAAATCATCAGTGATTTCTGAGCAAATTTTATGAAATTAAAATACTGTTTCTTTGCATGGTCCTAATATCGTTAGTATCACAATGTCACTTTGTATAAATAAACAGTATTTTTGAAAAGAATTTTTTTAGTCAGACCTATGATTTCCACCCAAAAAATAGAAACTATTTCGCTGCATCGTGATATAACAATATTCAGAGACAGTTTTTATGAGAACCCTACATCAGACTGAAAAACATTCAAGTGATTAAAATTTTTAATAAAAGAGACATCAGTGGCATAAATAAGCAGGTGAGATTCCTTAATAGCATCACTGGTGGAAATTTATAGAAATGCCTCGTCACTCATGTACAATTAGGAAACACACTGAATTGCAGCTCCTAGTATTACAAGAGGTAAATGCACACTTTTGAGCCAAAGATTTTTTTTGCTGTTACTAACATAACTAACAAACTCTGCTTTTCATATGAGTGTTTCAAATATCAAACCAGTTTAATTATTGATATTACTTTTTCAACCCGAAAATGCTTTCCTTTCAAATGCCATACTTTTGATAGATTTTCAATTTTAAGTTAGGGTTCCAGATCAATTAACAACTTTTAGTATTGAGATTTGAATTTCTGTTTTTCTGATTTAAATTCATGCTACAACTGTGTTTACTCCCTGTAATACTTCATATTAGGTAATCCTACATGGATATGGTATTTCAAGCATCCTGAAATAACAATGATAAATGGTAATTACAATCTTCACATACACACATTGTACATATTTGTAGCTGAATATAATGCAATAAGTATATAATATGATTATCCCATGATTTGTTTTGTAACTTACCAACCTTCATCAAGACAACAGCTTGGTTGTAAGCTTCTGGACTTTTATACAGGGAATTGATTCCCACAGTTTTCTTGCAATTAGTTGTGGAATTTTCTGCCATGATGGTACAAAGCAATGAAGAATTTAACTTCATGCTGCAACTCCATTTTCCCATTTACACCTTGTAATGTCTCATAATTGTTGCTCCTACATGCCCATGCTCTTTCTAATATCCTGAAATCATGATTGTCAATTTACCATGGACTCAATTTCAGAACCTTTATGATAAGAATGAACACTTACGAAGACAAGCTGTGCTAAGCAAGTATGTATAATGTGTAAAGGTTCTGAAATTGAGTCCATGGTAAATTGACAATCATGATTTCAGGATATTAAAAAGAGCATGGGCATGTAGGAGCACCAATTATGAGACATTACAAGGTGTAAATGGGAAAATGGAGTTGCAGCATGAAGTTAAATTCTTCATTACTTTGTACCATCATGGCAGAAAATTCCACAACTAATTACAAGAAAACTGTGGGAATCAATTCCCTGCTTAAGGAATGTCAAACACTGAATAGGACTGATATTTCAGGTGCTCGCCTTGTTTTACAATATTAGGCTTGTGGGGATATATATAAATATATAGGTGAAAAATTAAAGCTTACGCCTTTTGTTGGGTACTTCGACAAAATTTAAGCAAAGAGGACTCTTTATACATTTTTTAATTCTCTCTAGCTTTCAATGGACTTTGCCATCATCATCAGGAGCTGCAATTACAATGATAACAGTAGCAACAAAGGTGTAAAATGAATTTAAATTGACTCAACTTACAGTAGTATGTGAGGATGTTGCTAATAGTTGTTTACGTATAGGATGAGGGAAACGTCCAGTAACATGGTGAGAGCTGGATAGATTGTACAGTAGTCGAACTTATATAAAATATGACAAGAACAAGTTAAAAACAGATTAAAAATTATTTAAAAAATTAAAGCATTACATCGTGAAGCCACTTGATGATTGCACAAATTAGTGGTCATGGAATGATGAGTGACATGAAACCCTTTGACAGAAGGCCGAAGGATGTCAATGTCAGTATTGAAAGATGGAACGAATTGTGGGCGTGTGCCGAAACGTTGCCAAATCACTTCAGATGATGAGATTTTCAGAATTTTATGTTAGAATTTGTTAAACCGACCAGAGGCAGTTGAATAAACTATATTTATTAATGGGAATTTAAATTAACAATTATTAATAAATCGTGAGGAGAGAATTATTATATTTTGAGTGGAATGAAATTTACTGGTGGAATCGGCCAAAACACACATTCTAATTATGGTTGTGAAGAGTTGAAATTTGGGGAGATATGTAAGTTCTCCAATTTTTCGCAGTTTAGCAAATATGAGTAAATGACACTCAGTTGTTTAACATCTGTCTTTTTGTTGATACAGTTGTTATTCATGAAAATGTGGGACATTTCCAGGAATAAACGTTTGGAAAGGTGTTTTTCTTTGTCAAGAACTTTGATACTTGTGTAATTCATAGAATGCCCTGTTGTGTTAACATGAGATGCTAGAGCGCATCTTTCAGGATGAAGCCTAGCATCACTTTTGAGTGATGTAATCCTTCCTTTCAGAGATCTGGAGGTCTGACCTATGTATATTTGGTTGCAATTGTTGCAATTGATGGAGTAGACTGTGTTGGTTAAGCCAAGCAGCGGGACTTTGTCTTTCATTTTTGAAAAAATGCAGTTTATAGTGAGGACGGATTTGCAAGCAATTCCTTACTTTCGAATTGCTTGCAAATCCGTCCTCACTATAAACTGCATTTTTTCAAAAATGAAAGACAAAGTCCCGCTGCTTGGCTTAACCAACACAGTCTACTCCATCAATTGCAACAATTGCAACCAAATATACATAGGTCAGACCTCCAGATCTCTGAAAGGAAGGATTACATCACTCAAAAGTGATGCTAGGCTTCATCCTGAAAGATGCGCTCTAGCATCTCATGTTAACACAACAGGGCATTCTATGAATTACACAAGTATCAAAGTTCTTGACAAAGAAAAACACCTTTCCAAACGTTTATTCCTGGAAATGTCCCACATTTTCATGAATAACAACTGTATCAACAAAAAGACAGATGTTAAACAACTGAGTGTCATTTACTCATATTTGCTAAACTGCGAAAAATTGGAGAACTTACATATCTCCCCAAATTTCAACTCTTCACAACCATAATTAGAATCTGTGTTTTGGCCGATTCCACCAGTAAATTTCATTCCACTCAAAATATAATAATTCTCTCCTCACGATTTATTAATAATTGTTAATTTAAATTCCCATTAATAAATATAGTTTATTCAACTGCCTCTGGTCGGTTTAACAAATTCTAACATAAAATTCTGAAAATCTCATCATCTGAAGTGATTTGGCAACGTTTCGGCACACGCCCACAATTCGTTCCATCTTTCAATACTGACATTGACATCCTTCGGCCTTCTGTCAAAGGGTTTCATGTCACTCATCATTCCATGACCACTAATTTGTGCAATCATCAAGTGGCTTCACGATGTAATGCTTTAATTTTTTAAATAATTTTTAATCTGTTTTTAACTTGTTCTTGTCATATTTTATATAAGTTCGACTACTGTACAATCTATCCAGCTCTCACCATGTTACTGGACGTTTCCCTCATCCTATACGTAAACAACTATTAGCAACATCCTCACATACTACTGTAAGTTGAGTCAATTTAAATTCATTTTACACCTTTGTTGCTACTGTTATCATTGTAATTGCAGCTCCTGATGATGATGGCAAAGTCCATTGAAAGCTAGAGAGAATTAAAAAAAGTATAAAGAGTCCTCTTTGCTTAAATTTTGTCGAAGTACCCAACAAAAGGCGTAAGCTTTAATTTTTCACCTAACTGGTCTAGACGACAATGACCACGTCTCAAGTTATAAATATATATATATATATATATATATATATATATATATATATATATATATATATATATATTGATATAAGCAGAAAAAGTTGTTTTTTGAATGGAAAGCTGTCATGAAAATGTATCATATCAAAACTTCAAACTGTCAATTTCAAATATTTGTATGTTCTGTGTTCTGTGGTTTTTAGTTCCTGTTGATAATGCAGACTACAAAAGAAAAATATTTGTCAAAAATAAAAGCTTCAGCTGCAGACCATGGTAAACAATACAACAATGTGATTGGAAATAAGAAAAATGATGTAGTGAGCCTCAGGGCAAAAACAAAGCCTAGAATCGATTCAAACACAGAACAGTTGAATATTTCGAATTGACAGCTTAACCAAGGCTAACCTATATTGTGATCAAGGTGTAAACATTGGTAAAAATAATGTGAGGGATTGATATATTGAAAAAAAGTTAATCCTGATATTGCCAACAGAAGTAACCTAAGAACGACAGAGAGCTGAATGATCTTCAGGCTCATGGAAGCATCCTAGCACCGCTGAAAAAGAGAATCCTGTAGTAACCACACCATTTTTACAGTAGAATTTGTTAGTTTGAGGAATGCATAAGCCTGTATGTATAATCATAAGAGTTTTAAAGTTATGGAGCTCAAGATGAACTTTGTTATGCTTAGGCAATTGGTTCTCGAATGGTTAATGTTACTGTTGGATAGCTGAAATGTCTTACGGAACTCGATAAAGTGCATTCTTGAATATTGTAATCGACATTTTTATTCGACGATTTTCACAAAGCTAAGGCCATGTGTTTGAGATTTCTTAACCATTCAACTGAATGGCGTATATGATAAAGTTGGAGTATTGCTAGAAAATCATTACCTTTTTCTTCGTTATTGACCACCTTTGGCCAACAATTGTCCTGAGTAATTAAATACTTCACACAATGGAAGCACAGTAGCAAATGATAATGACAAAAATAAAATTCAAGTGGTGTAACGAAAGACTATATGAAATACATATTTCAACACTTATGGTTGCATCGGTGCTAAGGAGCAAAATGTAAGAATTCACCCTTTTAATGGAATTTTTTCAGGTCTACTTGCATTGCTCAAAGATACATCCCATCCTGAGAAGCCGAGATTACAAGATACTGTTGCAAGACAGAATAATTCTAGTGTGAGGCACGTTATTAGAGGAAAAGAAGAGTCGATACATTTAAATTGTTTGTCCACTCAGTGTTTTGTTTGTAGAGCTTCTAATTTTGAAAGTAGCATACAATATTGTCAACATCATGAAGAAACATTGTTTTAAGAGAAAAGACGAATTATAAATTGATGAAATCTGTATTTCCATATATTTCTGAAAGAACCTATTATATACCTGCCATCTGAAAAGTATAATACATGAAATTGTTAATGAACTCAAACGTAGTATGTCAAAACGTAAGTACCACCAATCCAATGATGACTTTATATCCAAAAGGTACAACTAATTACAGGAGTTATGGATATGTAGCCAAAAAACCAATATATCAAAAATGAAAAACAACAGTGTATCACAATAACCTTTATTATTTCTTTAATTTACTTTCATAAAATATACAGAGTGTTTTCCAATTGAATGTCTATATTTAAGGGGGCAACTTTGAGTCCATTTTAAGAAGAATATTTCATATGACGTATATCCTAAATGTCTTGGCCTTTGAAAAACAGAGTAGTAAACATTACAAAAATCAATAAAAATTTTTGTATAGATCTGGAATACCACTTTAAATACTTTATCAAAGTTTGGCATAGATGTACATCAAGAGGTATTTTTTATGCAACATTCTTTGAATTCCCACCAGTGGCGTTCGTACGAATTTCACTTGCCTATTTTGGCAGACAATGATAGTAGGCAACTGATTTCTCTTAAAATCAAAATTGCTCTTAAAATCATCAGTGATTTCTGAGCAAATTTTATGAAATTAAAATACTGTTCCTTTGCATGATCCTAATATCGTTAGTATCACAATGTCACTATGTATAAACAGTATCTTTGAAAAGAATTTTTTTCAGTCAGACCCATGATTTCCACCCAAAAAATCGAAACTATTTCGCTGCATGGTGATATTGTTCAGAGACAGTTTTTATTTTTATGAAAATCGTACATCAGATTGAAAAACATTCAAGTGATTAAATTTGCTTAGATGTGATTAAAAATAAGCAGGTGAAATTCCTTAATAGCAACACTGGTGGAAATTAAAGAAATGCCTCGTCACTCATGTACAATTAGGAAACACACTGAATTGCAGCTCCTAGTATTACAAGAGAAATGCACACTTTTGAGCCAAAGGTTTTTCTGCTGTTTCTATCATAACTAACAAAGTCTGCTTTTCTTATGAGTGTTTCAAATATCAAACCAGTTTAATTCAAGATATTTATTTTTCAACCCAAAAACGCTTTCCTTTCACATGCCATACTTTTGATAGATTTTCCCTTTTAAGTTGGGGTTCCAAATCAATTAAAAATTTTCTGTATTGAGATTTGAATTTCTTAATAAAATGATTGAAAAATTTAAGTTTCCTTACTTTTTTTCCTTATACAATATGCTAGAATACTAATATATGGTGCAAAACATTTAAAAAGTACAACATACTGTTCTTTGAGGCTCAGTGCATCGATCTTATTGCCACTGATGTATTTTTTTGGTATCCTCAGTAGCTGGAGTCTCAATTATAAATAATAATTTAAAACCACAATTTATACCTAGAAGTTTAAATTCAAATGAAATTTTGTATCTCAGAGCCAGGTAAGACCTACCTGTAATGATCAGCAAATTTACTTAACTTTATAAGTTATGTTAAGTCGCATATGGTACAATACAAGACAAATTATCTGAAACACAATTACGTTATTATCTCACTTATTGGGGCTCAACGTAGCCTGACTTTGAGGTACACTTTTCAAAATATTGGGTCTTTTCTGCTTATCTAGACCTTTGAAGTGTCTGAAACTTGTTTAACAGGAAAGTGATTCCCTGGATGGGTCAGAATTTTCTTGTATTTTTCCATTTGTGGAATTTTATGTCATGAAGTTTTTCTGATTTAAATTCATGCTACAACTGTGTTTACTCCTTGTAATACTTCATATATGGTAATCCTACATGGACATGGTATTTCAAGCATCCTCATTGTACATATTTGTAGCTTGACACTTCACATAGAGTCCAGTAATGATTTGTGAACAGGCATCTTGACATCAACAGTGCAATTGCATTCGGGATATGTTTGTTATCCATGGAGGAACCAACCTCTCGTAAAGTCTGTTTGAATGAATTACACCTGAAAATAATGCAATAAGAATATAATATGAATATCCGATGATTTGTTTTGTAACTTACCAACCTTCATCAAGAAAACAGCTTGGTTGTAAGCTTCTGGACTTTTATACAGGGAATTGATTCCCACAGTTTTCTTGTAATTAGTTGTGGAATTTTCTGCCATGATGGTACAAACTAATGAAGAATTTAACTTCATGCTGCAACTCCATTTTCCCATTTACACCTTGTAATGTCTCATAATTGGTGCTCCTACATGCCCATGCTCTTTTTAATATCCTGAAATCATGATTGTCAATTTACCATGGACTCAATTTCAGAACCTTTACACATTATACATACTTGCTTAGCACAGCTTGTCTTCGTAAGTGTTCATTCTTATCATTAGGACTATGATCATACAGGTTTATGCCAGGCTTTAATTAACAAATTGCAGTGTAGCACATATCGGTCACATAAATCAAATTCACGTTCTGTTTCTGTAAGATTCCTTCAATTATGCCTGGATGCATAAATTCCTTCTTAGAAAGATCATTCACCTCCTTATCCTTCCAAAGTAAACATACATTTTACTGAGGAACCAACTTCTCATAAAGTCTGTGATAATGAATCACACCTGAAAATAATGCGGATATATGGATATGGATATGCAATGATTTGTTTTGTAACTTACCAACCTCCATCAAGAGAATTGCTTGTAAGCTTCTGGACTTTCATACACACAAATATATTATAGTGTAATATATCCATGTGCATTAATTTTCCTAACTCAACAATTTCTTGAAGATACCACAGGTTGTGGAATTTGTTCAATGTAGCGAGGCATTTTTGAATGATCAACATTATTTGGAAGAAAATTATAAATTATGGTTCTGCTTTCCATTGAACGTCAAAACAACAACATAACCTCAAGCCAGAACTGTCAGATGTCGGAATCAAAAGGAGGTCATACATGTACGTCAACGAAGAAGACGTAATATTATCGAAATCAAGAAGGCCATAAACGAGCCCTACAATTATAGGCACGACTGACGATACGGGCCTAAGATGAAAGAATCTCATAATTTTTTAGTAATATCTAGTAATTTTTAATTTGTTAGGTTTATGTTTGTATCGCATTGGCTCTTTTGACATTGACTGTAATTAACCTATCACCTGTGGCAGTGTTTTATATATTATGTTTGAAACTTTGGTCTTAGTTTTTGATTGCATATTTCACTGTTGAAAGATAATGGCTCTAGTACCTATAAACATAGCTGCGATATTGGCAGTTGAAGAAGAGGAAAGGCTAGATGATATCTGCATCGAAAATATGGAGAGGAGATTGATGAGAAATCAAAGTGATCCTTTTTCACTTGAGGATGTGAGATTCAAAGAATTGTTCAGGCTGAATAAAGACATGGCCCAATATGTTTTAAATGGTATCATACCTCATTTGAACCAGGTGCCGAATCCTGTAGCAGTAGCTGTTATCCTGAAGTTTTTTGCTACGCTTCATTTTTATGCTACTGGCACTTACCAAAGAGTGATAGGCAGGAGCTATGACATTTCAATGTTTCAGCAGAGCATTTCAAGGGCTATTCATGAAATAACTAATGCTATTATCAGTACATTTTCTGAACAACTGGTACACTTTCCAAGAACAGCATTAGAAAAACATGTAATTAAGCAAAGGTTCATGGAAGCAAGAGGTTTCCCTGGGGTAATCGGAGCAATTGGTTACACACATGTGGACATACTAAGGCCAACTTTGGAAGAGCATAACTATTTGAACAGAAAGGGTTACCATTCCAAAAATATACAAATTGTAAGGTTGATTGATTATATTTAGATATAATTCTATAATTTCCAGGTTTGTGATCATGATCTAAAAATTCTTAATATCAATGCCAGGTTTGCAGGTGCATCTCATGATTCAAATATATGGAGAAATTTATTGGTGAGGAATGACTTGGAAGCTTGCTATCATGGAGGTATGCTCACAGTGTTATTTGGTATTTCATAATCAAGGAACTTATTGCATATACATATATGAAATATGCACAAAAGCAATTGTTGATTGATATTCCTTTTTGTAACATTCACAGATGAAAATAATTTTTAGATAACTTTTTTTTAATGCAGGTGATAGACATTCATGGCTCATAGGTGACTCAGGTTATCCTCAGGAACCATGGTTGATGACTCCTATCCAAAATGCATTGCCTGGTTCACCAGAAAGAAGATACACAGATTCCCATATTCAGACAAGAAACTGTGTAGAAAGGTCCATAGGTGTATTGAAAGGAAGATTCCTCTGTTTATCAAATGTGCTCAGATATAGCCCTGAAAAAGTGGGTGAGCAATTTTCCATAATATATGTGTAGCTGCTAGATTGGATTTTAATTTGGAGATGCTACTACTACAGGATACTGACAATCATCTGGAACAAGGCAATTTTGACCAAAGAACAAACAGAGATGGGATTTTGCTAAGAAGGAACATTATTGCCAGATACTTCACTAATTAGTATATATATATATATATATATATATATATATATATATGTATCATGCGAGGTATCTTGTAAAGATGTATTATCCTTTTCCATATTACAAGTTGTTTGTCACTAAAACATGTTAATTTTTTAATCTGCTTAGGGCAAACATGCCAGATTTGGAAAAGATGTTATAGGAATAAGTACTAAGACAAATTGTTAAGTTCCATGTAAAAATATTTAAAAAAATGTCTATATTTTGATACAAACTGTGGTAGATATTTTAGAAAATGATGATTGAAGTGGTTTCTAAAATGAGCATATCACTCATTCTATGAACTTTTTTATTTTTTTATACTGAAGCAGCCGCGTAGGCAGAAGCCCAAAATGCCATGGCACCGCGATTGCAATGATGAGGGACTTAGAGACAACTTGTTTATGCAACCCTTGAACTGTCTAAGGTTGGTTGAACCGGGAAAAGCCTTCTCAGGCAGATTGTTCCACCGTCTCAAAACCTTGGACACAAAGGAGCTGTCGTACCGGCCAAATCTGGATGTACTTAGTTGGGATGGGAGGCCAAAGTCTAACAGGCTCGTCGCGCGGTGGCATCATGGAGCCGAGCTCCGAGGAGCAGATCCCATTGACATAGCGGTAGGAGAGAGCTCATCGACATCCCGTCGATGCGACAGGGTCTCGAGACCGTCCATCAGAGAAGGGTCGTCGATCAGCCTGACAGCCCTTCTCTGAACAGCATCGAGCATGGATAATGTGGTCGGAGGTGCAGTTCCCCAAATATGGGAGCAATACTCGAGGCTAAGTCTTATCGAGGCCTTGTATAGAGTGAGAAGGTTATGTGAAGAAAAGTACTTCCAGGCTCTAGATAAATATCCTAGTTTTTTTCCAGCAGCTGCCTCGATTGACGAGACGTAATATTTTCACTGGTTTGAGTGGCATAAGGCAAGATTTTCCTTCAATCTTAGATTTTTCAACTTTCTTGTAGAGAATTTTGTCTTGATTTAATTGATAATAAATGAATACACAAAGTATGTTTTAGACTTTTTGTTATAAATTTTCATGAGGATTACATGGCCTAGTTTGATATTACAAAAATGTAGCGAAAGCAAGTCAACCAATAAAAATATACTCAACTGTCTTTTGAAAATGCTGTTTGTGCAACAGCAGCAAGTATTTTCAATGACTCTGCAATACTTTGGGTATAACTTTCTATTTTTTTGAGGACCTGGAGTGATTCTTCAGAAATTGTTGTTAATCTGTTTGAATTTCTTTGGTAAGTTCTCTGATATGGTGTTCTTTGATGTTTTCTTGAGGGAGTTTTTGTATTAGTTGGAGTATAATTGTGATCAGGTAATGTCTTGATGTTATCATTTTGCCTATTTTCTTGATTTATCACATTTCAGCTTGATGCTTCCATTGTTGAGTTAAAGACATCTGTTGTATTAGATGTTGCGGTTACCTATAATGAAATACAGTATTTTCAAAGCTTTATCTCTGTAGTATATGCTATGTCTCAAAACTTATCTTCATATAAATCTTTGTTAATGTAGCATTATGAAGTACTCACCTGTCCAAAGCCCATTTCGCATACATCATCTCCTTGAACAGACTTTGTTCCCATAAGGCTGAGGAGCCGCTTTTCTGCATCAGAGAGAGGTACATAATTTGCTGGTCCTCCACCAGTTTTCCCAATTTCTTGTTTGATTTTTGATGCCCTAGCTTTAGCTTTACATTTCCAGTCAATAAAAGCCTATTAAATACATACATTAACTGCAAAATTAAATATTGTTGATTAAAGCTTTTACCCTTCTCCAATCTTCTTTGTTTTTTTCGCCAAATCCCAAACTATTCAGTTGATGGGTAATGTTTTGCCACAGTTCATGCCCCTTTGCTCTGCCACCAGGTCCATTAAATTTATTACTGATCACCTCAGGGTTTTTTCGCAAATATCGAGTAGCAAGTTCCAATGTTCTTGTCTGACTCTCATGATTGATGCAAATTTAAAGCCAATATTCGGAAGAAGACACAGTCAGGTCATATACATACAGCAAAGCATTTGCAAAGTGAGGTTAGAAAGCTTTTTTCCGTAGAATTCCACACGTCAAGACAAGTGGTTTTCAAGCGACAGTATTTGTCACTTTCATGCGACTATTTTTGCACACGGAGTGCCAGTCGTATGGAATTGAATCAATTGATGGAATTCCATGTGACACAGAGTCCCACTGCAGATATCGATCACCTCATTTTGCCGATTCCTAGACGTACACAGGGGTGTATTCAGCTGCGGGGTCGCCCAACAATTATTTTTTTCTTATTACTTGACAATAAAATTTCGTGACAATGTTATCGTTCCATTCTTGATGAAAGACTACCTCATTGCCAAAAATTCAAGTTAAAGAAATGATTTTTTCTGGTTGAAACGTAGTAAGAATTTGCTATATTTTGTTATGAATATGGATATTGCAAAAACGTAACTAATTACAAATTAATCACTCAGAAAAAATGTTCATGTAATCAATTAAGGAGAAGACTGGTTAAACAATTTCAAAGTTGTTTAAAGTACCAACTTGGCATAGTTTCAAGTGCTTTGATTACATAGATTATTCAGATTCTGTGACTACTACTACATGTACTTTTGAAGGCAGTCTTGTAAGTATAATAACTGGGAATGATATGTGGAGTATCTGTTGAAACTTGAGATTTTTATTAAAACGTACGAACTTTAACCAATTTTCTGGCTTTTAGGCGGGGTTGAATTCTTAAATTGAACACAGAAAATCCAAAATATATTATTTTGTTCCAGGTAGTTAGCCAGAAAGACAAGAAACCAGGGATGGTGATGAGGGACGGAAGAAGTAGGTCACTGGTAGATCTGCAAGGCCTCAGAAGCACTGGGGTAATTTTAAGAAAAACCTCACGGTCTGACTCTGGCAATGTTACTAATACCTCACCAACGAAAAGCTTCTCAAAAATGATCAGCAAAGAAGCTGCACCAGGGAGGTCCAAGACGTGGTTCTCCAAAGGGTGATGACGAGACTACTGAGAGTTGTGGCTCATCGATCTGCTCAACGCTAAGACACTTATTTGTCAAGTAGCAAGTTTATCGACCTATACAAAAATATCATTAAGCTAGTCAGTGGGATCAAGATAATACTTTTAACGTAGCAACGTAATGAGGTCACAAAAGATGGGAAGTATTCAGGTGACTGACGTGAAATTTAATAAAATTCGGGCGGAGTTCCAAAACTTATTCCCGGCTTTTGGCTTTTCAATTGCAAGTTTATGCAACTTGGCTACAAAACAGAAGTTAAACCTCAAAAAGCGTCTTTTAGTGTCAAGTAGTGAACCTCAACCATCGGACCATGTATGGAATAACTATAAAGTTGTGGTCAAACACCATTGTCTTACATAAAGGATTTTTTCGCAAGTTCACGGTGTAGCACATTGTACCACCGGGAACCGATACTCAAATTTTCGCGAAGAACGGGAATAGGGGAAGACGGATACGACGTCGTCCTAATGTCAAAAAATCACGTGCTACGGGTACCCGCCTAACCTCTGTGAGGTACTAGTGGGTGACAGGTCTTATGTCAATGTCATTTTAAAAACAGGCATCTCAATTGAACATTAATCTTCGCAGTGCTGAAAATTGAGTTAAAGTATTAAATCATAAATGGAGGAACACCTCCACCTGATTTTAAATGACGAGGGAGAAGGTAATGGCAGATATATATAAACCGTACTTGACATATCAAATGATTGATTTTATTAATATATATGTACATTGCACAAAAAACGATTGATCTTTTTATTTCAGATCAAACAAGGCAGCTAAGTTTATCAAGGAGCTTAAAGCAAATATTTTGCGCAACATGCGCCATCTAACCACTCCCGTTGTAACTTGACACTGTCAAAACTTCGAGAGGAAGGGGAAACTCCATCTGTTCCCACTACGGGATCTCGGGAAAAAATCTCTATAATGTGCTTGACAGTGACATAAGTTGTCTTGAATGACATGAGAGACAAATACCGAACATCACGAAACGAACAGGACAATCAAAGCATAAAAAGGACATTGCCGCTTCAACGATTTAAGGATTATTTACGAGAAATTGAAAAAGGAACTCACAATTGACAGTTAAATTCCAAGTTACAGATATCTAACTTGAAAGCTAACCAGCGATTGAAAAACCGGGTCTTAGTGGCATTATTCACAATCAAGTCGATACGGACATGGGTCTTGAGTTAAGAACCGTTTAATATAGGCTAAAATTTGTTTTGTGCTGATTCTAGCAATATGAGTCAAAAGTATCTGTGATGAATCTCAATTCGTCTCAGAAGAGGAAAGCTTGCTACTAGAGTACTTTGTACGAACAGGTACGTTACGTACCAGTGCCACACCATGTGGAAAAATGAACCATTCAGTGAGCCATTACCATTACATTATTTTTTATAAGGTGTACGCGATCTCTCGATAACTGGAAAGCTACTTCCATAGGGAGACTATACATCAAGTTAAATTATAAGACTAAGTGCATAAAGAAGTTGATCTTTGTTATTGAATAAGCAATGGTTTATCTCATGATTTTGACTT